CAGAAGGACTTTAATTATCTTTTTCCTTGATAGACATACATTTTTATAAAATGAAGATGCTTTCATGATAATGGCATGTTTGTAATAATTGTATTCGGGGAAAAAAGAATGAAGAGTAAACATTAAAACGCGTAAATTGTGTTTTCTAGTGAAGATGAAATTGTATATATATCACTTAGAATGGCATGGCAAGACAAAGCAAATTAGATTAAGTACACAACGCACATTGGGCATACATACATTTCATGGAAACCTTTAAGTACTCATTTTTGTCTTGCGACAACATACCAGACAAAAATTGTTGACATGAACAAAAATTTGAACATTTATTCAATAAAATTCAAGGAAATTAAGAAAATAGGAAGCATAGAAGGATGACAGCCAAAAATAAATAAGAATATATGTAATATGGTTTAATGGTTCTATTACACATTTATTTACATACACTCAAACTTAATCTGACTTATGTACTGAGATGTTTCGACCGTACTTTCTAATACATATCCGGACTTGTTAATGTCCAAAATAACATTAAAAAATTACTGTTAATTAAAAATGGGATTATGTATAAAATAAATGATAGTTTTGTCAGAAATATTGAAATAAAAATACAAATTTAAGTTGTTTTATGAATAGTTAGAAACAAATTATTTGAAGATTACAACATTCGAGCGCTGAACAACCAAAACATTCCTCTACATGAATACTTAAGTTGCGGTAAAACTGTTTTATGTATTGGGTTGTCCGGAAAATAATGCAGGATTTTGGTATTAAACAAAAAAAAAGAAACTAGTTACTTTAAAGCAATGTTCTTTAATCAAAATAATTTCCCATACTCTCAATACATTTCTCCCAACGTGTTGGTAACTTATTAATTCCGTCTGAGTAGAATTCAGAATTTTTAGAATTGATAAAGTCAATAAATGCATTTTCCAGTTCCGTTTGATTTTTGAATATTATGTGTTGTAAGTAGTGGTCCAGGTGTCTAAAAAAATGGTAGTCAGTAGGCGAGAGGTCCGGAGAGTAGGGTGGGTGAGGCAAAGTTTCATAGCCAAGCTCCAATAATTTTTGTGACGTTACACGTGACACATGTGGTCGAGCGTTGTCATGCAACAAAATGGGCCCTTTCCGATTGACCAAAGAGGGCTTCATTACTGCCAATTTCTGATGCATGGTATTAATTTGGTTACAGTATGATTCAGCATTGATGGTTTCGCCAGGATTTAAGAAGCTGTAGTGTATTAAACCAAATGAAGCCCACCATACCGTAACCATTACCTTTTTTTGATGAGTTGGGGGCTTTGGAGCTTCTCCTTTGTCGAGCCACTGTCCAGAACGTCTAGTGTTATCGTAGAGAATCCACTTTTCGTCACATGTAACAATTCTGGCCAGAAATGGGTCATTTTTGTTTCGACAAAGAAGTGATGCACAAACATCAAAGCGCTGATTTTTTTGGCGATCGTTTAATGAGTGTGGAACCCAATTTTCGAGTTTTTTCACTTTTCCAATCGCCTTGAGGTGGTCAGCGACGGTCGTTTTACTGACTTTGAGTTGCTCTGCAAGTTCTCGAACAGTTGTTTTGGGGTTTTCTTCCACCACTGATCGCAGAACATCATCATTAAGAGAGGAAGGCCTTCCACGACCTTCTTCATCTTCAAGGCTGAAATCTCCCTCCCGAAATTTTTTAAACCACCTTTGCACAGTGCACTCATTAACACAACCCTCGCCCCAGACTTGGTTAATTTTTCTAGCCGTTTGGGCTCCGCTTCGGCCGAGTTTAAACTCGTAAAAGAAAATCGTACGAAATTCTCGCTTTGACATTATAAGGATGACTGAATTATTTCCAAGTAGCGGAATGCTACAGAGGTAAACAAACAATATCATTTGGAAGAGGATTAATAAGTGTTGACATTCATACAAATGAGTAATCCTGTAAACGTAAACAGAATATTTTATATAGATTTTTTTTAATGAAAACTTAAAATCCTGCATTATTTTCCGGACAACCCAATAATCTCAGTCATCTCTCACTTCCTCAGCCCTATACATTTTTGTGTCTGCCTGACTAATTGTATGACTCTCCTTCCTTGTCTTTACGATATATCATTTCAAGCTCTAAATCTGTCTTTATGTTAAACAATCATTCATACTTTCTGTTCTTTCCTATGTTCAAAAAGAGTAAACATTCATGGATGATTAGTGAATTTTGTACGTTCATATCGGGTGATACAAAGGTATTGCTTGATTAATAACCAACTTTCTAAGAAATCTTCCTACGTCTAATCTGTAGACTAACAACTGCTACCCAACCTGCATATATTTTTTTAATACAGTTGTCGGCATATATGTTATGCCTACTAAATGATATTTCTGCTTATATGTTTGTTTGTTTGTCTATTGTTATGTGTGAACTATTCCTATTTTTCTAAATAAAACCTTATCTGTACTGATTAGGATTTATTCAATTTATTAGTTTATAACTAAATCGTATCACCTCACAAAATCAAAGAGGCTTTCCAATCTTGTATTACATCGTTCTCTATCCTTCTAGCTATGTAACTATAACGTTGTACTTTATTGTACCAGTAATGGACATGGACGAACGAAACCTCTGGTCTATGTCTTCATAATTTAAGAACTTAAAAAAGAAAGGAAGGAAGAAAGTTGAACACAAATAGAAAGATATGTGATTGATTCGATTGGTAAATAAACAAGACAGATCTGGAATAAATATTAGTTAATGTCAAGGAGCATTCGTATTTTACGACCAAATTAATATATAAAAGACCTATCAATCTCAATTAATATATTATGTTCAGATTTTTTATCTTTATACATATCTCATTTCCTCGTCCTTTTCACTTTGTCTGTCTGACTGTCTCGCACTTTCCCTCTCTTCTCCATTTACCTATCTCAAGCTATTTCTGTTGAATCTGTCATTAAGTTAATTAATCCCTTGCTCCAATCCATCTTGCTCTTTTCAATAAAGAGAAGAGTCAGAGAGAAGGAGAAAGATAGATAAATAGAAAAAGAGGGAGAGAGTAAAACAGAAAATGACAAAACATTTGTAATTAATATTTTGATGTAAAAAAAATAAATAAAATAACATAAATGCACTAGTGTCTCCATGGTAATGTTGAATCGTCTATTAAAAGTGAAACACTTTTGAAAAATTTTGAGCTATTCCGAAGCTGAAATTCTACTTTGGATTCAACTAAACTTGCGAAGATCGTGACCTACTGAGTCATTCAATACACCTTCACTACGACGGAGTGAATAAGAATCTTGAGAAACCAAATTGGACCAATACTGATAATTTGCTGTTTCACAATGGCGTTTATCCACCCGATGGTTTTATTGGGTTGTCCGGAAAATAATGCAGGATTTTAAGTTTTCATTAAAAAAAATCTATATAAAATATTCTGTTTACGTTTACAGGATTANTCGGAGCATACGGAATATATTCGATGAAGAATGTACTGTTGAATGGGGACGCAGAGCCCGAGCAGGAGTACAACGAACAAGGAGAAAGAGGGTTCTTCAAGAAGCTCATGAAAATCATGCAATACGTGCAAATGGCTCAATACGCTTACGACGCCGCAGTTCATTACGGACCTTCCGTCCTAGAATTTGTGAACGATAACATACGGTAAGTTCCTTAACATTGTCCCTAGTTTCTATCGGCCCAGACTTTTCATTTAACAATTTTCCCTCATTTCAGGAGAAGCTCCGGCTAAACTCACCGAATTTGCCTATCACCTTTTCTCGGATTTGACTCATTTGTATTTCATGGATTTGACTTTTTTCACAAAGAAGATTTTTTTTTTGTGCGCGGTATGGACGCTTTGATTTATTGATTTGTGTTACAGTGACGTTTGTAAATACGGTGTTTTTTTGGAAATAACCTTGTTGTACATAGAGAAGAAAATCTTAAAATTGCATATAATGTAAATACTTGTAAATATAAATTTGTGTATATAGCAGTTGGTTATTTTCTCTTCATTTCACTAAATATAAGGAACCAATAGAATAATTTATTTAACAGGTCTTTCGTTTACTTTTTTGTCTTTCTAATTCAAAATTATTATTATTGTTTTGCCAACGTACCAAATGATGCCCTATGAAACGACACACAGGTACATAAATCAAAGTTTGAAAATCATGAATGAATAATATAGACATATCTGTTTTTATACAAGATTGATATAATTAGATGGTTAACAGAATAACGAATTATTTAATCTAAGAATGAAAAGTCTTTGCTTTACGCTTTAAAACAATTGTTCTTGCCATTTCACTTGTTGTTGTCAATTAGAATAACTTATTTATTAAATTAATAAATCGTACACACTATAGCCAAATTGTTTTTTTTTAAACATAGAAGGTGAACACAAAAAATAGACAGACAGTAATTTGTTATTTTCTTACATTTTTATTCCCTGGTTGAATTACAGCTGATTATTTCATACCATAAAAATCCCGTAGACGACTTCTTTGATTGTACTTTAGTGTCATTATTTTTTATTATTGTTGTTATATATAATGTCAAATACTAATCAGTTGTGTTATCAAAGATTTAAAGAGGAAGTAGAATGATAGTTTGGTTGTATAGTTACTTAAAAGAAGTCCTAATAAGAAGAGCACTTAGGTAAATATGTACTAATTTCTCAGTACATTTTCTTTTGAAAGTTTCAGCGATTCTTTACAATAAATATCCAACTTCCATTCTTAAGAGTACACCACACTTAAAAACATGTTAGAAGGAAAATGTTTATTCACATATAAGCCAGGTTCGGTTCGGTTATTTGCCTTTTCAAGATTTTATGCTTGTCATGTGCGACCTTATTGATTTGAAGGAATATTTTAGATATTTATTATTATGGTATAGCTTAAAAAGTTTAAATTTGAAATAGTTTTAGTTTCGATGCTGATCTTTTGAGCTATGATGTCTTACATGTTACTTATTTTTTAATTAATCACGACCTGGTGTATTGTATGTATTTATATCTTATTTGTTTCACAGGGTTTTATGGGTATAAGTTAAAGACTACAGATATAAATGCAAATTTACCTTGGTACGTCGTTGATCAAGGCCAGTTTTCCAAAATCTTCACCTTGGTGGAGTGTTGCTACAACCCCTTTTCCGTGGATGACGACGTCGACGGAACCGTTGAGCACGAGATACCACGACCTTCCTTCCTCTCCCTGCTCGAACACTAGAAACAAATAAAAGTCATTTTGACCAATCGATACGTGCGGCCGTGTCCCGTACTGGATCTCGACTGACTAAGCCCCTAGGCCTTATTCCAAAGTGATGGTAAACATCGATGTCATCGTCCACCCTTCTTGTAATGGGGGATACCCTATGAGATTGGGGTGACTCACTGCATTTTTCTCCCGGCACGCAACGTCCACCCCAATGCTGTTTCCTTGATGATGACTTTGATCCGGCTAAGTGACATACGTACCAGTCGAAGTATACAAACTCAATATTTTCCATAAAAATGTAATAAATTAACTCTATGCAATCAATCATACATTTGAGCAGCTGCAATGATTGATGCGGAGAGTTTTAACGAACTTCCAAAAAGCTAGTAATTCTATCATAGAAGTCTCTACCCACCAAATAAAGTTTAAAATTATATAAAAAATTGGTCTTTCTTCTAAGCATAACTATTATTAATTAAAAATAAATTATAAAAAATTAAGTAATGAATTAATTAAGGAAGTATTCGACTTCCGTCCGAATGAAAAAAAAAAACATACCCAGAATGGTTGGAAGAAATTCAATTGTCATTTTGGTTAATTTAAAAAAATAACTTTCTAATTATATATTCCATATTATTTGTACCATTTGCATCCATAAAGTTAAGGGGAAAAACGCACAGACGTAGGCCGTTAAAGGATAGCCAACCTCTTGGTTAAATTCAGCAATATTGGTGAAATGTTATTTATTTTTATATGTGAAATATCCTTAAAAACTATTATGGCTTGTTTTAATTATAAAATAATCGTATAAATAATTAATAAGTTGAAATGTACATGCAAATATATTAAGGCGGGAGTAGATGTGAATAAATAATAATTACACAGCTCCATTTATAAATAAATATTAAATCATTTTACAAAATTATGTGTTTATATACTTAGTTTCGGACCAATGTTAGTCGAAGAGTGTGAATTTATATTTTAGCTATAAACAACAAACTTTCTGATTACTGTACAGGGTGGTTCGGGGGCGATAGCATACCAAATGTAGTAGAATAACTCAAAAACGGGCTTCCAAACACCTTCCGGCGGTAAAATACGACATTTTAAATATTTTGTCGACCATATCTGACTTCATCCAAGAAAATACAGAATTACCCCGGTTGTATTTTCGTTTTTCATAGAAATTAAAGTAGTTTTTAAAATGTACGATAAATCTTCTAAAAAATGAAAGACGAGTCATCTACTGATTCCTATCCGATCAATTCACTAATAGCCGAATTGCTGCCATACCCATAAAATTAAAAAGTTTGAATTTTTTTAAAAGATCTCTTTGAAGCATTTCAAAAATTCTCTGGGCAGTGGCAAAACACCCTAGAGCTTAGCGAATTGAACAAAAATGCTTTATTTAATAAGTTTTGGAATGGTTTTCTTGGTACTTTTAGGATCGCTATTTTTTCTTTTTGATCACAAAACGTGTTTTTTGAAAAAACCAAGATTTTAAACGATGGGGAGGATTTGTTTTGTATTAATGGTACGCTTTTTTGTTCAGGGGCAAACTAAATATTCCCGATGTAAATTAAAATAGAGACATGACAGACATTGAAACTAGAAAAAGGCTCGAACGAAAACAGCCCAATGCTATTAAAGATATTGGAATGTTTGTTCTTTATCCAAAAAAAGAGTTGACTTTTAGACTGTTCGGCCATATGATAAACTTGTTTCCTTTAGTGGATATTTTGTTATTATGTTTGCAAAAAAAGTATAAAGAATATTCTAATTTATCCATTGTATTCTCATCAGTACGAATAAAATCTTCCCCCTCGTATAAAACCTAGATTTTCTCATGATATGCGTTTTCTGAGAGGTTCGATCTATCGATCTGGTGCAAAAATAAAGCAGGTTTTGAAAAGGCAGGCAAAATTCTTTTTAATGTTTATTAAATAAAGAAAATTTATATGAAATATTTTCCATCACAATCTATACATCTTTGCCAACATGTAATAAGTACTTTTATTCCGATTTTTTTTTTATTTCGACTGACAATGAAGTCTTGGAAGGCGTTTTCGGCTTCTCCGCGTTTTCTAAAAATTGTATGCCTCAAGACTTGATCAAAATGCCTAAAAAAATTGGAAGTCCGTAGGCGAGAGGCTGGGTGGATTTGGAGGGTGCGGAAAGTTGCATATCCTACGTCCTTAAATTTTCTCAGGGTTGGTATTGCGACATGGCCTGTAATTATCGTGAAGAAGAATCGGCCCCTTACTGCTTACCATTGCTGGACAGAGACGTTGCAGTTCCCCATGAAATTTGTCAATTTCTTTGCAATATTTCTCTGCTATGTTTCAGGAAATTATAGTGAACAGCCTCAGCAGTACATCACCAAACCGTCACCATATTATTAGGTTTCGTGGTCCAATTGATCAAATAAATTCTTTTCAATTAACTAAGGCTTTGGTTGCGATAAACCACGAAACCTAATAGATGTAATAAGCAAAATGAAGTATACTTCACTAAAGCTCTCCGTGGCAATTTCATTTGTCGCCGAGAATCAAATAGATTACACGAATTTTGAAAAATGGCAAACAGGAGGGAAAATTCAAAAGGTGGGGTTGAGATGGGGTTGGTGTCTGAGTGGAACGAAGTCTCGATATGTTGAGCAGTGGCGTATTTAGCCGAAGGTCGTGGGTCCGAATCCCGCTCTAGACACTGACTTTTTATCTCAGCCAAAGCCTCAATTCATTGAAAAGTCACCATAACCTTTTGGGGCGCAGATTTGGTTTTGGGAAGTCTTTCGGTGACGCTTCATCCTTGTTCAGCTACTGACCTGAACGCCTCCTGTTATCAGAATCCATCATCGCACGTGATGATTCGATCGGGAAATGGATTATTTTGGTGGCGCATCAGAAGAGACGTACAAATTTCAAAGCGTCGATTTCTTTGCGCTTCGGTCAGTTCGTACGGTACCCACATGTCGAGCATCTGTATTTTACCCATTTGCTCCAGATGGCGAACAACAGTTAATCAGTCTACACTAAGCTCTTCCACAATTTCCCGTATGGCCTTACGTGAATTTTCTTCAATCAAAGTTTTGAATTTTCGCGTCCACAATGGAAGACCTACCGCGACCACCCTTGTCTCCCAGATCTTAATCTACAAGGCGGAATCTCTGAAACCATCGCTGCACCGTTCATTCGCCAATGCTTCTCTACCCCGGAACTGTATGGATGTTACGCGCGATATGGGCCGCATTTCCTCCAATTTTAAATTCGTAAAAATAAATTGAACGAAAATCTAGTTTGGGCATAGCAGGTCCTCATTCTTATAAAATTTAGTATAAAGTAAAATGTTTTATATAAAAGCAATGACTATAATCCAACAAACTAGATTTGAGGATTTAACTTTGTTTAAATGACAAGCACCTGCAAAACAAATTTTAAAAACCAGCATTAGTTTTGCACCAACCCAATATCATTCACCTCAAAACAAGAGCATTCCATAAAAAAGCTGATTAATGTAACAGTTTTTTTATAGAATTCACCAATCCGTAGGAGGTTTCGTTTAAGAGTAGTGAATTTTTGAAATCCTTCAATTTCTTATATTTAAATTATTACTTCACATTCACATTATTACTTCGTCCTATTTGGACGCACGGAGCGAAACTAAAGTACCACCAAGCCATCTAACATCCAATAAACCAGAGTTATATCCAATCAAAAGTCCTCAGAATTGATCAAACTCCTTACTTTCCAATCTTACTATCCACAATGACCTAAACACTTCCTCAGTCAAAGTACTTCCGTTCCAACTTCCTTAAGGTTTACTCAACTGTTTCAACCCATCCAAGCCCTCTCCACTTCTTCTCCTAAGAAACCTCCACGACGCCAAGAAAATACTCCAAGATGATGGCCCCATAACCTCCTCGCCTAAACCGAACAATATTTAAATGTGGGTTTGTGTATGTTTGGGCCAGGGAAACAGCTGCCAGTGGAACATAATTTGTCACAGTAAATGACTTCTTTTTCGTTTTTTTAACATTTACCGAAGTTTTTAAAAATGGCCAAATTTTAGACGAAATATGCAGAGATCATGGAGAAAATAAGTTCAGTTCGTTTTTTCCATTTAAAAAAAAATTCGTATCTTCAAGTCGGAGTGAGTTCTAAAATATTATTTTTTCCAACTCATAGGGTACTTCCGGGCTATTCTATTATGAGAAATTAAAGAATGAACACACATATATTTGTAGAATAAATATTTTAAACTAGAAACCATTTTAAAAGAAGGTTAAAGAAATTAGCAGAAAGACAAATTTAAAAATAGAAAATTGAACATATTAAATAATTGTTCAGTAATGTAGTTAAATAAAGATTTTTTCAATGTTCATAACTTACTTAATCAATGACCAACTTTATTATTGTTGCTTATGTGGTCTTTCACAGAAAGACGTATTGTTTATTTTATTTTTGTTTATTGTTAGTTGAACCAGTGAAACGAGATCACAAATCTAACTTTCAAATTATCAAAGAAAACTTTTCACGTCTGTTTTCAAACCAAGGTGTAAATCATATTTGACTATTGGGATTCGCCACGTCTCGCTTGTTGCGGGCCAGGTCTACTTCATCACTATTGAAAGTTTGTTAAGCACTTCCGAGAGGCGAAGTTGGACAAAGTGGAAAACTTGAAGGCTCAACTTACTCTGCGGTACATTCTGACTGATTGTGGCAAGCGCTACGAATCAAAACTTCGTAAGCACAGATTTATCAATTGACACACTTACGAAATACCTCTAACACCGAATATCTGGTTTGGACGAGATTGCGGAGTGTCTGTCAGTGGTTTCTGTGTCCAAAACTGTTGGTTGAAACATGTATAGCCCCGTACAAATGTCTGACAATTGTTGAATGAATTCAATTCAGTTTACTTAATATGAATACATTTTTTATGAAAAGATGATTGTTCTAAAAATAGTAGCAAATAGTCCACAAAGAAAATGTATACTTTTATAAAACTT